ACTCCTTCCAAATTAATAGGTATCACAGGCGGATTTCAACTTTAAGCGAAATGTATAATAAACAATTAAAAATTGGGGGACAGATTAATTAATTTACGACGAGAGATAATTTGGTGTGATTTTTTGTATATTAAAATAACATGCAATATGAGCGCATACTCTATTATTTTAGACTTATAATATAATCAACTTAAAGAGGAAGCATAAAAGATCGTATAATCTCTTTATATCTTCCGACGCAAATGTTATGATTGTGTGCTAAACAGTAATAGGCACTGGGCACATGCATGTTTGACCCTAGTTTTTATTATGGGTCTCCCTATTTTTTAGGGGAAATGACAAAATTTTGGGTTGATTATGACTCCAATATATATCAATTCCTATTAAAAAAATAATAAATTAAAAGAGTGCATAAGCCAGAAATTGCTAGTTATTATATTTGAATGAAATAATTTGCAAAATTAGATAAATTAGGTAAGTTACAACAAACAAGCTCATCATAATCAACTGGTGTTATGAATACCTGCTAAATGGAATGAACCATTTTGAACCGAGCTCGTTCAGTTTATAATATAGTTGAGCCAAATTCGACTTGTGAAGGTTCAAATATTGGAATTTTTATATAACTTTTTGCAGCTCTACTCATTAAGGCTCAAGCTCGTCTTGATAAAATCATCGAGCCCAAACTCAAATATCCGAAAATCGATTCAACTCATTTAAGCATCTACATGTGTATACATGACACCCATATAGAAAGAGTTGTCAAGAAAGTTAATTACATGCAAAATTCGCTTTCAGTTAGTTGTTATATTCCAAGTCTTTATCCAGTAATATCAATCACAAATTATGATTTTAAACCTAATTTGCCCCCACACCACTCTTACTAGCTACTATGCTTTGGGGACTTGTGGGTTTTCTTATTTTACGAAATATATTTTTGCCCCGAATTTTTGAATCTTGTCCCGTGACCCACCTTTGATTTCCAGGAATTAATAAGAAATGTATTGTGCTGTGTATCTTTCTTTTTACGCGTGAAAAGCAACAGCGAAAAGAAGCAAATAAAAAGTATGTTATTTAACAATGTTGCAATTTTATATTACAATGTAATTCAAATTCATACTACTCATATAATTATGACTCTATATCTTTTTAGATAGAATCACACGTATTCTTTGAAGATTGATGTAATCCACCCCATATATCATTTGTAAATGGTATTCTTCAACTACAAAGATCGGAATATTTTTTGTAACGATGACCTAATCAAATGTTCATTATATCAACCATAACTCTAAAGTTTATTCAATTTGTAAACTTAGACACGAAATTTATCACTTTCCCCACACTTAATTACAAATTGGAGCTTTGGAAATCATGTTATTCTGTTAGGCCAAATTAAGCATTAAACCGACTTAATAATTTATTTTATATGTATACCTTCATGAAAAATTATCCACAATGTAAGTTAGATTAGCTCCAACTAGAATATGGTATAGTTTAAATAACATGGGTTCTTAAGGTTCCTCAAAGAAAGGGAAGTTTTGATCATTTCAAAGGAGAGTGTTTATAGTGTGAATAATGGGTTCCAAAGCTTATATTAATTAGAGGAGGGGTTAAAAGAACAAAAGGAAAGAAAAAAGAGCAATAATTAATTGTAGAAGGTGAGATACATAATTAAGATGAGAGGCATATGCATATATAAGAGAAGTTGTGTTTTGGAAGGATGGTCTTAAATATGAGCACATGGGAACAAGGGTGTCTATTTTATTGGCCCCGTTTTTGGTTGATGTGCTGTGTTAGCGGGGGTTGTCCCAAACCATGCTACGGCACTTCCCTTAATATTGTCTTAATATTCCCAAAACATTATGGGGCCCATGTGGCACCCCTATCCATACCATCTCCCGTTCATATTCTCTAATTCCATTCATTTTTCCTTAATAATAATAATAATAATAATAATAATAATAATATAACACCAATAAGAGATTGGCTGGCCGATTAGAGTGGTTAGCTCGAGCCAACAGGTCTAGGATAGCTTCTAGCTCGACGGTAGAGTTAGACTCTGTCAATGTTCGGTATGATATATAGCTCGAGACACAGGTCAATCCTTGTTACGAGCTAGAAAGCTGAGCTCATCCAAGATCTCGATCAAAAGGAGAGATTGTTACGACATGGAGGTCGTGTAACAGAAGGCCAACAATACGACCTAATAAGGAGTATGGTGGCACAGTCACGAAGTCAGGGAAACGACTTAATGACCTACTAAATCCTTGTAATTAAAGAAGGGAACGGAGTCCTACTCGAATGGCAAGTATATCACGCTAGAGAATAGAAAAATTTAGAGACATGTTATTCTAGGAAAAAGAAAAGAGATATGGGAAGATTTTTTTTTCCTAGTAATAAGGTTACGTGAGTAGGAAGACAACCTCCTTATAAAAGGAGTTTATCGGGTTACTTTACATTTTAACGCATAATTATGCACTATATCCTTATTTTTAGAATTCATAAACGAGATCTAACTTGATCATCGGAGGATTTTCTGCCTAAACCCCTCCCATCTTATTTTGCAAGTCGCCGAAGTTCAGGTTGAAGGGCAGTTCGTGAAGTTGCGTTGAGATATATGAGGATCTCGTTATGTACAAGCTACGAATTCAATAGCAAACGTAAATCTATGCGCAGCGGATCTAAATGTTTGACGTAAAAAACTTAATTTTCTGAATCTGATGGATTCGGGATGACCGGGAACAACACACGAACGGAACTGGATCACACGAATGGAAAGAGATCGGCCGGTTTTGTCGAATCGAGCTGGTCGTGTGTCGAGTGGCCGGGTCACATCGATCGTGTTGCGGGGTCAGCCGGTGGTCGCATCGAGTCGTCGCGGCTCCTCGGCTCATCGCGGCTCCTCGGCTCGTCGCGGTGGATGTGGTGTCTCATCCGGCGGGACGTGGCTCGTCGGCGGCGGTCGACGGTTGTCGGGTCGGCGGGTTGCTATTTTCGGTCGTGAATCGTCGACTTCTGTAGATGATCACCGGGTCTCGATTACCTTTCGATCTTCTACTGTATTACTCACACACCTCTTCAACTCGTACTGGTGGAGCAACGAGAATAAGATAAATCTCAAATGAGATCTAGAGAGAGAGGGTATAGGGCGTCGGTTTTTCACGTTAATTGTGATAGATCTGTTCTCTTCTCATGAGCTTAATGATGTATATATAGAGTTTACAGTAGAGATCCTTAGGAGATTAGGAATAGGCTTCTTAAGTAATGGACTAAATGTAGGCCAGACTCACTCTTCCAGTTATTTAAATAATATTACGGCCACTCCCT